ACATGCACTGTAGTATTTTTTAGCAAAAGCAAGGCCAGAGTAGTTCATTTTATTTGGAGCAGCAGATGAGGTGGTCTGAGGCACTGAATTCCTGTGGGAATTCATTCACTGTCTTAGACCAGCAAGAAGAAAGCTCCATCTCCAGCGCAAAAGAATTTTACCCTTGCTGTGGCCAGCTCCATCATGCCTGAGGAGCAGAGCCATCATCTGCAGACCTTGTCCTGGAGCTTTAGCCAATCTTTCAAATGTCATGATCCCTGGGGACTGTTTGTACACCATTAGCTCTGGACTGGCCCATTAGAGGAAAAATCTGTTTTTACAATAATTTATTATTAATTAATTGTATCTGGCGTACGTTCTCTTTCAGAGCTCAATATCCAAACAGAAAATGACAAATGCAAGCCACGTTTGGTCCTATAGTACTCAAACATTACTGTATGGGAGTTTCTGCTTCTCACCTTTGTACACAACCCAAATTTTAGTCCTCCATTGACTCTGTGTGCTCTTGGGCAAGTCATGTAACACCTGCTTAAGTTTCTTCATCTTAAAAATACAAAACAAAACAGGAATAATCTTCCCTTCCTTACAAAGCAGTATCACAGGGGTGGCCAACCTGTGGCTCCGGAGCCACATGCGGCTCTTCAGAAGTTAATATGCGGCTCCTGGTATAGACACCAACTTTCCAATGTGCCGAGGGATGCTCACTGCTAAACCCCTGGTGCTGCCACAGGCCCTGCCTCCACCCCACCCCTTCCCAAGCCTGCCATGCCCTTGCTCCTCCCTCTCCCATCCCCCCCAGAGCCTCCTGCACACCATGAAACAGCTTATGAGGAGATGCGGGGAGGGAGGGGGAGGCGCTGATCAGTGGTGCTGCCAGAGGCCCTGGGAGCAGGGGAGGGAGGAGCTGATAACCGGGGGAGAGGGGGGGAGGAACTGACATATTACTGTGGCTCTTTGGCAAGGCACATTAGTAAATTCTGGCTCCTTCTCAGGCTCAGGTTGGCCAGCCCTGCAGTATCAGGACTAAAGTTCATACAGAATTCCCAATATATCTAATGCTACATAAGCTTTAAAAGAAATATTTATGAAAAGAATGGAGTTCTGCTATTTTGCTAAATCAGCTAAAAAACAAATCTAAAAAGGATTGCATTGCAAGCTAATTAATCCACAGAAGTCAAAACTCCCACATAAGTGCATGTTCTTCCCTAATTGCAATCACTTTGTCCCCTAATAAAGGGCAGCCATCTTTTGGTGGAATGTGGCAGAAGTTTAACAAATGAGAGTGGTACACAAAAGTTTACAATAGAAAATGGGAATTTAGGCAGGCAGAATTCTGTTACCTAAACTGAATCACAAGGACTTCTGTTTTAAGTCTCACTCCAAAGATAACACCTCTGGCAACACAGTACTGTGCTAGTGCATTAGTTAAGTACTGACTCAGAGGAAAACTACCACCTACTAAACCACAAGCCACTTCCGTGCAGCACCTTGGATCTTCCTTGAAAGCCTCCCACCCAGGGGCCGATGAAGACCTAACCCCATTTAGTTTGGGATTAGCTGATAAGGCTGCCCCTATCATGTTACTGGAAAAAGCTGCTGAAACATCTAGTGCCTTGTTCAACTCTCCTCCTTTTTAAAGGGAATCAATGTTATTTAAGTTATACTGAAACAATGCTTTATGAGAAACTACTATACAGCATGCATTTATAAAAAGCAAGCAGCTGAGGATACAGTTTTCAGAGTAGCAGCCGTGTTAGTCTATCTGCAAAAAGACCAGGAGTACTTGTGGCATCTTAGAGACTAACAAATTTATTTGAGCATAACCTTTTGTGAGCTACAGCCCACTTCATCTGATGCATAGATTGGAACATATAGTAAACAAGAAGGTGTGAGGATACTTAACATGGGGAAATTCGATTCAGTGTGTGTAATGGCTCAGCCATTCCCCAGTCTCTATTCAAGCCTAAATTGATGGTATCTATTTCAGCAGTTTCTCATTGGAGTCTGTTTTTGAAGCTTTTCTGTTGCAAGATTGCCACCTTTAAGTCTGTTATTGAGTGACCAGAGAGGTTGAAGTGTTCGCCTACTGGTTTTTGAATGTTATGATTCCTGATGTCAGATTTGTGTCCATTTATTCTTTTGCGTAGAGACTGTCCGGTTTGGCCAACGTACATGGCAGAGGGGCATTGCTGGCACATGATGGCATACATCACATTGGTAGATGTACAGGTGAACAATATGTTCCATTCCATGCATCTGATGAAGTGGGCTGTAGCCCACGAAAGCTTATGCTCAAATAAATTTGTTAGTCTCTAAGGTGCCACAAGTACTCCTGTTCTTTTTGAGGCTACAGTGTTCACCAAGTCTTTTGTGCCAAACTGGAGGTCCTTTTTACCAAGCTGTGACTGGCTGAAGTAGCAGTCTGAGGACTTGGTTTTTTAGCCAATACTAACACCATCCTCTTAAATCCAAATGCCTAGAAATAATGACAAGAGGGGAGGAATGTAATTAAGCATATATAAGGCTGTCTTGGAACCCCCAAAACTATACAAGGATCCAGTAATACTGCTGAAATCTCATTACTTACCTCACAGGGGCATTTTATGGTTTAATGTTTGTATATCCCTTTGTAACTCATAGTATTTTTTCCCCCTTCATCATGCAGCCAATGTGGACATTATATTTGTGAATCACACCACCCTATGGACCTGCAGCAAGTGCACACAGGTGTTTAACTGCATTAGCACTGCCTATAAAGTCTTTTGCAACAGGTCAATATGTTACAAGGCTGGTCTTCCCTTGTACCCTCTCCATCAATTAAAATAAAAACACACCATGGTTTTGATTTCAGCAATGGATTATGGAACAGCAGCTAAACAGTTTAATTGTGTTATTTCTTACAGAATTGTCATTGATTAATTGGATTCTCAGAACTCTGTCTCTGCTTAGCATTTCAATAGTACCCACTGTATGAAGATGCAGGAAAAATAAGCACAACCAAAGCTAATGAACTTTTTATTTTAAGACCTTGAAATATTGGTAGTACCAAAGCAAAACCTGATTGTGTAAGCCAAAAGCCATAGATACTAAGGCTAAAATGAATAAAGATATCAAATACATAATGCTGTCAGTGGCAAGGGTCCATACTAGTGTGGACCTTTGCCACTGACAAGGGTTCATTTTATGTGGGTTCATTTTATGTGAACCATCAGAAAGTTTTTATCATTGCAAAGACTACTTTGGAAATGTAAACAGAACAGCTGAGGCACTGATGTCTGCCTGAGTGTACAGAACATGAAATAGTAGGTCTGTGGTGCGTGAAGTGCCCTTTCATCTAAATAGATACTGCCTCAGATACCAACCGTGTTACTCTTAAATATCAACATTGTTAACCATTTTATGTGAACCACAGTGTTCAGCTGTAACTAAAACTCCAAATATAAAATAGTATAAAGTGCTTATAGACATGAGAAATTAGGAATTCTCTGCCACCAAAACAAAGTTAAAAGCGACATTTTGAAGGTTTATGGAAGTGGTTTCAAACCTTTAAAGCCCACAAAGTGATAGAGAAGTTTAGTTTCATCAATTTTTATAGCCAGAAGGTACTAGGATGTAGCTTTTTAAATTTTTTGCTACAAGTTGCACCTCATTTCTAGCCTGAATTTGTCTTGCTTCAGCTTCAAACTGTGGAAAATTCTGGTACATTTTTCTGCTAGATTGAAGAGCTGTCTCCTATTAGAAATCCTTTCCCCACATAGGTGCTTATAGACACTGATCAAGTCACCTCCTAAACTTCTCTTTGATAAAGTGAGAGACTGAAGAAGCTCAATCTACTTAGTTTAAGGCATGGTTTCCAAACGCAAAGACATTCTTGAGCCTACATCCTTTTTAAAACACCAGAACCAAACATAATATTCTAGTAATGGTCTTGCTAATACATATACAAAAATACCACCTCCTCCCCTGACTCGTACTTGATATATTTCTCTGCTTATATATCCAAGGATTGCATTCACTCTCACCCCTAAAGAACTGCATAGGGAGTTTATGTTCAACTGATTATCTACCAATACCTTAAGTCCTTTTCAGTGCCACTACAGTCCAAGATATTGTCCCCCATATTGTATTATGGTCATTCTTTGGTCCTAAATGTATGACACTGCATTTGGCTGTCCCAATAAACCTCTTATCAAGTGATCCAGTTTGGTCTGTATACAGTTAGCCTGTCCCTGTTATTTACCTTTCCATTATTTTTGGAGTCACCTGCAAATTTTACCAGCAATGATTTTATATATTCTTCCACACCAATAGTAAAATATTGAATAGCACTGGGACAAGAATAGATACCCCCATGACCCCACTAGAGAACATCTGAGAACTGCTCCCATTTATAATGACTTTTCCACAATTTATCAGTTTTCAATCTATTTAATATGGGCTACATTAATTCTGCATACCTCCAGACTTTAAAGGATACCATGGCTGCATAATCTGCTTTATATGTGTATAACTCAGTTATACACAAAATTACTGTTGCTTTTACAATAAGAAATGCACTGAGTAAAACTTTTAGAGTAACCACCACACCTTTTAGTGATAGAATTTTCTGCTTGGCACAAACCAATTTGATGAGTAATCTATTACGGAAAATTTTAAGAGTAGGAGAATTAGACATACTCATGCCTTAGATCTCTCAATAAATTTAGCCTCAGCCTCACTTCCAAGATTCAATAAAAGAAGCTGCTGTATCAACATTTTTAAAATATTTTGATCCAGAAAGAGTTCTCCCTAAAGAGAAACGTTAAGAACCTCTCAACTATAGCAGTTATCGAATTTCCTGTATTTCTCTTCCATTGTGATTAATTACAAATATTTTGTGAAAAAGTCATCTGCTCCAATTACTAATTTTAAAATTTGAAGTTAATCTTCTTGACAACAATTTCTACAAAAACCATAACAAAGAATTAGGATTCTTGATATACAAAATGCCAAAATTTTACCTGTCTTTGATGATCCAGATCTGCTTTGTTACCAACTAGAATCATAGGAAATTCATCACGGTCTTTCACTCTAAGTATCTGCCTTTGAAACTTGTAGATTTCTTCAAAACTGAAAAAAAAAAAAAAAAAAGGAAAGGAAGGAAGGAAGATTTGCATGTACTTGTTCATTGGTTCTTGATCTACGAGGGCATGAAAAATTGGAGTGGGATTACAACCACCCTCCATGTTTATGGATAAAGAGACAGGGTTGTAAGAGTCCTAAAATAAAATATTGTTTCATCCTGGGTCACGATGGCTCCATGATTAGGGAACCACTGAGCTAGTTCATCCAGTTAAAATGATTCTTAACACAAATCAGTACTGTGTAATCTATAGGACCTATTCTGGTCTTTTAGAGAGTTGCAACGGAGTATTCCCTGCTTAGCCTAAGGATAGGGTACATGCAACTTTACAGGTGTCTATTTTCTTCATTGAATGGCAACTCAACATTAATATCAGCTATGTGTATACATAAGTTGGAAAGGCACTTCACTTAAGACAACAGAAAGTTGTGTTTAGGCAGCAAGAGCCTTTTGCTAGTTTCCATATGGCTAGGAAGGATACCGATTTTATTCTTACACTCAAAGCATATAGGACAATTAAAAAAATCAAATATGATTTAGGCTCTTAATTCTAGGCACCCAGGTTTGAAATTACTAGCCAAAAATACACTGTATCCATTCCATACAAGACTATGGAGGCCAAAATTTCAGATCACATCCAAGAAAGCCAATTGGTCTTCCCAACAAAGCCTCTACAGCTTTTTCTAGTGTTTTAAACCTTTGCTTTTAATTATAAAAACCCATCCAGCTGGGGATAACCCTATTGCCCAGAAACAGAAGAAAAGTGGAAGCGCTATCCAAGTAAATTAATGGTCAGGTTTGCTGCCCGCCAGAAAAGGACAGCAGCAAGTCTAGTAGCACCAAGCACATCAACGCTGAGCAGACAGAGTGCAGAGTGCCCAGAGGGGCCGAGGAGTGAAGCAAAGAGAATAGAGCTGCCTTAGGGAAAAGGGAAGGAGAAAGGGCTGACCAAAACAAAAAGCTACCAGTGCAATCAATGAAGGCACAGATGTCACACGCCCTTATCAAGAACTGCTCAATAAACCTGGCATGACATACCGAGCCAACTTTAAAAGTTCAAGTTAATATTTGGGGGAGGTATTTGGGTCCCCTTCCCCCTGCCCCCGCTCTTGTTTTCCTATTTATAGTTTAAAATCACTTATAGCATTGGGTAGGTGCTTCAATGAAACTGAAATAAAATGTAGACCAGTGGTTCTTAACCAAGGGTACATGCAACTCTGAAGGTACACAGAGGTCTTCCAGGGGGCACATCAACTCATCTACACAGTTGCCAAATTTTACAAGAGGTTATGTGAAAAGCACTAAAAGTCAGTACAAACTGAAATTTCATACAGTGACTTGTTCATACTGCTCTATATCAATGTTTCTCAACCTGGGGGCCGGGATTTATTTTATAATCATATGTTAAAAATGAGAAAGTAAGCAATTTATCAGTAACATGTCAGCTGTGACACTTTTGTATTTTTATGTCTGTTTTTGTAAGCAAGTAATTTTAAGTAAGGTAAAATTTGGGGTACACTAGACAAATCAGCCTCCTGAAAGGGATACAGTAGTCTGGAAAGGTTGAGAACTATTGATGTAGACAATTAACAGTTGAATTTTGTCTAGCTGTATTACCCCCAACTCCCTCTTTACCACAATTTGAGGGAAGTAGACAATGTCTTCACCCCTCAGCTCAATATTAATTAGCCACTTAAGACCAGAAAGCAATGGCATCACAGTTTGTCTCTGCAACAAGGACCATGTGGTTATTCTAGTAGAAACTGACTTAGCAAACAGATGGAGTACCGGCACATGCTTTCATAGTTGATTTCAGGCTTACCTTCCTCTATCAGTGACTGAGAAGACAAGGAGAAAGCCCTCCCCAGTCCTCATATACTGTTCTCGCATAGCTCCAAATTCTTCTTGTCCTGCTGTATCCAGAACTGAACAGAAGTAGAAAAACTAAATTACTATACTTCATGCTCCAAGTTTGCGAAACTTTTCCTCCTGAAATAGTTGGAGCACAGCAGCTTCTTTTTTAAAAGGGATGTTATTTTATAAACTATGACCTTCCCCAGCATATAGAAAATGACTTATCTGTAGTTTTTCTTCCAATGAAGATATATTGCAAGTTTCTTACTCCTGGAGTTTAGCAAGATGCTGGTGAGACTCCTAACTCAAGGTTTTTTGACTCTTCAGGGCAGTGATCCAGTCATAAGCATTAAGTCTGGCATGAACCAAACCTGAAGAAACAATGGTCTCCCTTTCACCAGTTCATGCCAGGCAAAAATAGCTATTGTGCATACCTAGATGGGAGTCTTACATTGATTGTTAACAAGAGGGATCTCACTGGAATATTTGGAGGGCAGCATTTATACTCTGCACGGGTGGCAAACATGACAGCTATTAAATTGTATCCCAGAACCACTGCTCATAAGAGTTAAGGAAGTTCTGGTAGTCTTGTACTCAGAAAATAAGGCCCAAAAATAAGGCTCCTAATGCAGAGGATCTCTCTAGAGAATAGAAGCTGCAGGTGCTCAGAATCTCTAAAAACAGAAGCTATTTATTTAGTTGCAGACACATTATTTACATTAGGCATTTAGGCTTAGTGTTAATTTAAAGAAAGTTTTAAGTTTGATTAGCTCTTTGATAGTCAATGAATATGCAATTAAGACTAGAGTATAAGTTTTAAATCAGGAAGTCATGAAAGCATAAATCAAAATACATAGCACAATACAATTTGATCCAGTACCACCCTCTTAAAATTCAAGTTCAAATAAATAACAGTTACAGACCATTTAAATATCAATATTTAATTATGCTTTTAAAAAAAAACTACTTACTGTCCAACCGTGCTGCTTTCTCATCTATCACACACTGTTTGGTGTAAGAGTCTTCAATTGTCGGATCATAATCCGTGACAAAGTAGGACTGCAGAAAAACACATACAATACACTGTTAACTTACTGCATTAAAGTATTTGTAATCTATCAAACTGTTTTCTGCAGAGTTATTTTCTGCACTCAAAAAATGATATAAACTCAGAAGTATTTCATCCAAATTAGACTAGCCAATACATCTAAAAAGGTTAAGTATTATTTGGCAATCTCTGGTAATGGCTTGATATGGACATGGGCAAACAGCATATCAGAGGGAACATTTGTTATGAATCATGGATACATGTTGTCATGAATGTGATAATACATATTAACCCCCATTGTTTTGGGGAGGACGTTTATAACTAATTAAATATTCACTGGAGGAATTAGCATTTACACTATTACTCTTATCTCGGTCAAATTTTTAGCTGGTTTTCTAGAGAAATATTCCAAAATTATACAAGTATTTTAGACCGTTTCATTGCCCCTTCAGACAACACATCAGTGCTTTTATAGTTTTGCTATGCCAGTCCTACACCACCATTGTTGAAGTTTAAAAATAAACTCTGCACCATTTTTGGAATTTAAAAAGTTAATTGGCTGTTTGTGCATCAATGGACAAGCACCTATTTGAGTAAGCAAATCAATTCTATTGTTTAAGTGAAAAGTAAATTCTTTAAGCACTTCACAGCCCACATGTTAGCTTTTACTTGCTGCCTAGAAGCTGAATGAACCTGTAGATCACACAAAATAGTCATTTAGAACAACAATAGGAAATAATCCTTTGTTTACTTCTGGATTCACAGCCACCACAGGCAGCATCCTTTTCTTTTAACCCCATAATTCAAACAAAATTAAATCTAAAAGTACTCCCTCCAAAAACGGCTTTGTCAGCATGAAAGCTACAACTATTTCACTTATACATCAACATAAGAATGTTGTAGTTAAAATGTGAACCATCCAAAAGCCTCAACAGTCATTGTTTTAGACAACCCTCTAACTTTCTCCATATCACCACAGAAACTGCAACATCTACATTGCAAAAAACCTGCAGTGTGAGACTGTCAATTGACCTGGACTATATGGGGCTAAACCAAAGCAGTTGTCAATGTTCCCACTGGGGTTGAAACCTAAGCTCTGAAACCTGCTTAGGGGGAAGGGTTTGAAGTAAGTGCTATGGGGCTAAGCCCATTTCCCTTGCTAGACAATTCAAGAGAGGAATGAGCCAGTTTTGTGTGTGTGTTGCTGACAGAAGTAAGCCCAGCCATCGGATGAGGTTATAAGGAATACTAAAAGGAGGAGAAGAGAAGACATATTAAGCACTATAATTACAAGTATCAGTAGCTAACAAAGATCACAGAATCTGCAAAAACAAAGAGGATTGTACCATAGAAGGACAGCTACTAAAATACAGCCATTAAAATTGTTTTGACTTACCAACCAATTATAACATTTAAACTGCAAGTGAAATTCTGGTTTCTAACTGTTTTGAGTGTTGTATACTCTAGTCCAATTGTCATCCCACATTCACACCAATCCCTAAAGAATATAATTTTCCTTTGCAGTAGTAACAGTAAAGCCATTCTTTCCATTCTTCTGAAGCTCTAATTCAAGGCAGACTCAATGTTGCTATGCAATCACAGCCACTTCCTCAGTTTACAGTACTTCCCACTGTTCAAATGTATAAAAGCAATGTTATCATGGTCCCTAGAGAAAGTCAGATATATTTAATTTGCAACTACTGCTACAATTGTCTGATGCTTATCATAAGAGTAAGGAAATCAGAAACATACAAGAAAATGGTTTTAACTACCCAGAGATCAGTATATGCATTGTAATTTGATCACTTTTCACTGTAGATATCAACTATCCATTGAAATATATCCACCACAGTTCTGTCACCTCCACATTCTGAACAGGGGCAATAAAGTAATTCTAAGTGGAATTGCCTCCTAACAAGTACAATAAAACTATTGAATTCCCTTCCACATGCATATATCCCTTTTTTAATTCCTTAAATTTAAGGAAGTAATCAAATTCAAATTCATTCCTCTCTACTTTAAGGTCCCCGTAGTTTTGCCTCCTATCATCTTCATTTCTTACCAATCCTTTCACATTACTTTAGTTTTTCCTCCCATTTTCACTTTGTTCCTTTTGTCATGCTGCTCTATACAATTCAAGCCATCTCCAAATAAGCACCTTTGTTCTCTCCTCCTTAGGGAGAAACAGATTTAAATTTTATTGGAGAATATTTAAAAGAAATAAACGATACAGAAATTTGAAGCATTAGTTATTGGGGGTAACATACAGAGTATGGGGGTATGTTGGTGTTTTGGGGCTGGGCAGCACACATAGTATATACATACTGCAATGTCCCCAATGAGGGGTGGGTAACCGGTGGGCGGGATCAGGACACAGTCGATAAACGGTGAGGGTCTATCACCCATACGGGAGGTAGAGACAGTCATGGGTATAAGTAAGCGGGCTGGGTAATGGGGATGGGGTGACCCTCACGTGGCGGGATTCAGCTAGGTTTGGTGGGTTTAGGGCTCAGGGGATAGGGTCCAGCAGGGGGTGTGTGTGGGTGCACGAGGTCTCCCCGGCTCACTCTTGGTATTGGCGGTGGCCGGTGATGTGCTCGATGTAAATGTCCCGGGACCAACGGATTTCTAAAGCACCTACATCACTTAGGAGACAAGTCTATCGAAAGGCAATGGAATTTAAGGCACTTGGGGTCTGGAATAAAAATTTCCATTTATCCAACAATAAACCATCCCTTCTTTCTTCCTCCTCCACCAAATCTCATCACCCTTCCATTCCTGAACTATTGGGCAGCGTCTAGATTTCACAACCTAAAATAATGCAATCTCTTCAAGGCAGGGAAAACAACTTACTAAACTTGGAATGACAAATTATGTTTAAGTTGTATGTACATTGCTCAACGGACATTTCCAAAACTTTACAATATACATCTCCCATAACCACTCACAAGTTTCTAGTTCCATCGCCTCTCATCCTTCTGTTCTGGATATTAGCAGTGTTCCCACCCATGGACAAAGCATCAAGCCATGTCACCACCTATGCCTCATGAACATACAGAAAAATCATATTGGCACATCCAAATAATTAAGATCTTATATAATCAATTATGAACAGTGTAAAAAACTATATTCATTTAAGGAGGTTAAAAAGAGAGGGGCAATATGGAAACAGACTGCCAGATTCAAAATACATGAAGAGTGTACTGTGTTCATTTCCTTGTTGATCTGCCAAAAGACTTCAGATCAGATTATTACCCTGTACTTGGCTATGTCCCTCAGAAGCTGCAACTACATCAAGCTGTGTAATGGTATTATGTCCATTTTGGATTTCACTACAATGGTAAAAATGAGTGACCTATGCAAGTTTTACATACACCCATAAAAGAGACCGTTAACATATTAACCACCTACCACTAACTCCATTTTATAATACAGTACTTAGCAGAATTATTTATCAGCATTCCTGCATGCTCCACTTATAGTTGTGGTTGCCTGTACTTTTTCATTTGAGAGGGTCATTTTCAGAGGTTTATAAACTTTGAAACATGCAAACAAAATTTTCAGAGTCATAACTGTCAAATTTTGGTGGACTTTTAAGGAGACAGCAAAAGGTACATCTGACACAAATGCAGCCCCCTTCCCAAATTTTGAGTCCCTGACCAGAATCCTAGAGTTGCTAGAGCTGGTCAATGAAATGGTGGTAAGAATTTCAAACAAAGTAACAGATTTGTCCCTAGTTTCAAAACAGAAAGTCGCAACATAATTATAATCAAAAGTCTGCAAGAATAGAAGGATTTGGTATTTTTACTTTGCATATATTAAAATGTTACTGGTTTTGAGCACTGTGATGGATGTCAAGATATTTAGAAAAAGCTATATGCATCCGAAGAAGTGGGCTGTAGTCCACGAAAGCTTATGCTCTAATAAATTTGTTAGTCTCTAAGGTGCCACAAGTACTCCTGTTCTTCTTTTTGCAGATACAGACTAACACGGCTGCTACTCTGAAAGATATTTAGAGCATTTGACAGAAACATCACCTATATAATCAAGTCTGCCACATCTATAGTTTCCATACCACAAATTCATGCAAGGCCATAAAAATATGATAGTACCAAAACTGTCTCAGCTTTGTACTTTGCAAAAGCCAGGCAAGTTTTCAGAAGTGGGTATTCAATTTTAGGACTATGACAGTGAGAAAAGCCTAGCTGGATTACATACTGGGAAATAAGTTCTAAGAGAAAAGAAAAAAAGGGGAAGATTAAAAAAACCCACAACCCACACATTTTTAGATGCAACTTTACTATGTGAATAAATCCAATTAAATTATTGGCTTGTCATTTAGTCAAATACAAATATAAAAATGAGCACCTCCAACATATAGCGTAATTACAATTTATATCCATAAAGCGGGACAAAAGAGGAAATATTCTAGTGAGCTAAATAGAAAAGAAAAATGAGTCAAATCAGAGTCAAGACAGAAAAGATTAATATTTAGAGGATTTTCTTCCCTCTTTCAGGAGACAGCCTTTCCCCCCCATACACAGCTCAAAAACGATCAGAGTTTGTAGTTAACATTACACCACTAGATGCCTGTCAAATTCCGAAACAAAGGCTTGACATTTGAGTGGAAGCTCACAAGAATTTACAATTCAAGTCAGCATATTAAATACCATATTGTTCAGTATTGAGCACTGTGATGGATGTCAAGATATTTAGAAAAAGCTATATGCATCCGAAGAAGTGGGCTGTAGTCCACGAAAGCTTATGCTCTAATAAATTTGTTAGTCTCTAAGGTGCCACAAGTACTCCTGTTCTTCTTTTTACTCTTCTCTCAGATAAGGAAAGCTTAAAGAAATCACCACTGTTGAGCTACAGAGCAAGGAAAACATTTTGGAGGTGAAGGAAATATAGTGTATAAACAATCAATCATTCTCAGCACTATGTTTGCTGAATGTTTCGGAGAAAGGCAGTGTGGGCTTGGGGGAGGTAATCTCCAACTCAGAACTGTACC